AATTACCTTAAATAGCTACATTTAAACTGCCGATTTTTATTTAACCTGGCTAGGTTTTAAAACTTGAAATCCATATCTGATTCATATATAAATGGATCAAAAAATTTAAAATCTGATCTAATTCATTCAGATCAAATCCGCAGATCATTCAGATTCAGATAAAAATTGAGATTCCTATCAACAAGTGATAACATGATCCTATCAGAGATAATCCTATTCAGTTTCAGATAGAGACCTGATCACAATCTTTATATAGACTGTCTTGTATTGTGAAGATCTTGATTTTAAATATAACACAATGAAAACTGTTGATCATCTTGATCTGCATCAGCTATACTTAGAAACATCAGTTATATATGGTTAGGCCAATAGATGATTCGTCAAATTCTACCTGCTTTCAGTTAGGAAAATCACATTAGTCTCCTGAAGGATTTGAACTTGTATCTTATAATTTGACCTATGGAATGCTAACCACTGTACTATTGACTCATAGGTCCTAAGAGAGCTTAACTATTTCTAAATATTTAAAATTAAAGTTATAAAGTTTATAGATATAATTTAAAATAATAAAAATTAAAGTAAATATAATATAATAGACAAGCATTAAAAACTCTTTCCACTGATTCTCTGACCATATACAGAAAAAATGTTTGTAAGAAGTTTTATATTTTCTTGTTAATAAAGTCTTTATACTTTTATTAAAACAACTTGAACTTGTCTTCATTTATTTTTCTTACCTTCCTTTACTTATTTATAAACTTCTTTGAATAAAAACTTGAGCCTCTAGTGATCTAAAAAGACTCAAGTATATACTTCCTTTACTAAAGGCAAAAAGGTTCTAGGAAGTAAAAGGACTGACAAGTAGAGTGTCATCTTACAGAGCTAGAAGTGATAAGAAATAGAGATTTTGTTGATAGAAAAAGGTTTATTTTTCACCTTCACATATACTGTCTTATATTCTCTTAAAGTGTTTACTATTTTTTATGATTTTTTGGAAGAATTTTTCCTATCTCAGTTTGATTTTAAATTTCTGATAGTACAACATTATCTAGTATTTGATTGATTGATATGAAACACATTAATAGCTGAATATAAACAAGCTCCTATTTGTTATCTCATGTGTTTTAATGACATTATTGGTGATTGAAAGAAAAATCAAAGATATGAACTTCTCTACTTCTTCAAATAAAGTTTAACTGAAGTAAAAAAATCATAAGACCATTAGGATGGGCACTAAATTCCCTAGGTGGTGAAAAGGTAGTTATTTGTTTAAGCTGAGGTCTTTAACTTCTTATTATTCCAATCAAGCAAATTATACAAAGGAAGTTATTTTCTTATCCTGGTCAAGCTGTAAGATCGAAAAGCAGAGAAATATAAAATATTGCCTTTCTCTAAGATTAAAAATGCATTTCTCTAGGATTAAAAATGCATTTCCCTAGATGTTATATAATGGTATTACAATCAAGATGAATATCAGTAAAATTTCTTTAATTAGGTATAGCTGCTGGAAAATATCAGGAGTTACTTAATAAGACTGAAAAACTACATAAGAATCTGGAATCTATTGTTAGTTGTCTTTTTCTACATGGATGAATATAAAATCAAGATAAAAAAAAAGGAAGTGTTAAGTAAAATACTGGATCTGAGTAGGTAATAAGTACCTTAGATGGTCATAAGAAAATAATCAAGAGCATGGATGGATAAGTTCTTTAGATAGTTAAGAAAAAAAAGAATATTCTAGAAGGGTTGACTTCTAATAAGAAGAGATTTTTAGCAAAGATTCTTTGGAGGACATGAAGCATTTTTAATTTTCTTTTTTTTCTTTTATTTTCATATAGTGCATTTGCATATTTTTAAATATTCCTCTTTTCTTTTCTTTTTCTTTTCCCCTTTTGTAGTTTCTTGAATTCAATTTCTTGAAGAATAATAAGCAGTAACAGTCTGCTAGTAATAATGGGTAAGTTAGGAGAGTCTTTATTCAAAACTTGATTCAGAGTAAAATATTGTTTCCAAAATTGTACTTAGAGGCCGAAGCTCTTTTGTGAATTGAAAGCCATTGACGAGTATATCGGTACAAGTCTTTTAGTTTAGCCATAATGCAATTGCCCTATATATCTCTATCAGTTTTCTTAATAATTAATAAACACATTGTATTGACCTGACCACCGGTTAAAAAAAAAATAAAAAAAAATAAAAAATGAAGTAAATTTATATAATAAAATTAAATAACTTTTTTCATTTTAATTTATGATTAATAAGAAGTCAAAGATTTATTTTATACAATCTAATAATATAATTGCTTTCTAATAAATTTGAACTAAAAACTTTTATTTGAAAACTATACAATATTATTACTTATACTATAGATCCATAGTTTTTTAATAAATATATTTTTTATTTAATCTTTTTTTTAAAAACATTATTTTAAATTTCAAATAAAAAATTTGATAAAAAAAAAATCAATAAAAGAAATATTGTAAATATAACTTTGATGATTTTTTCTTTTCAATATTGAAAAACATTAAAACCAAAATAAACAATTGAGGATTTTGTTGTTTAGAAATACATATAAAATTTTATATCTAAAAAAACACCTGCCTATTATTGTATTATTATTTTTTAAAAATAATCTTGGGGATTAGAAATAACTCTTACTACTCCTCCATACACATTTATAATGCATAAAACGGTTAAAGAAATCATCATAAAATTGTTGTTCTGACCATATCCGATGCATAACAAATCAAAACAAAACACCATAAAAGCTAATATATCGATATAATTATGTTGCAAAGCATTTATTAAATAGCTTCTATACAAATTCGCTTTATTTTGAAATGAACAAAAAGTTCAGAATCCTCTCTAGGTTTCTTCTTCCTCCTCTCCCGTGGTATCAGCCAATATGGGATTTGGTTGTGTCTTTTTATATGCTGCAGAATACAATATTATCAGAAATAAACTCAAACAACTGTACTTGCATAAATGCTTGTTTATCTTACCTTTTCCAATCCACTGTGGATCATCTGTATTCAAAAATAGGTTGTTATGAAACAAGATTTCGACCAATGCCAACAGATAAAAAAAAAAATGGATATGCATAAAAACGTACCTTCAGAAACTTGTGCAAATTTCAATAGAGCTTTTCTCGGATCCTCATCTGAAAATCACCGCGATCAACGAAAAATCAATTACATTCAATCGTTGAATCATGAGTTTTCGAAGGATAAAAAATAAATAAATAAAACGAACCCCTGGTGGTGTCCTTGATCAATTCTTTCATAATGTGTTCCGTCAAGCTACTGCCAATTTTACCACCCTTTCCAGGTCCACTGACAGGTAAGTCAGGGCGGCGTGAAGCAACAGGATCTTTACGTAATTTTTCTCTTTTTCTCTTTGTTGACTTGGGCCTATCATCCCTGAATAATGACAGGGAATGTGGGGCAATAATTGGGCGATTTATTTCGTATTCGTCAATCGCTCGCTTCTTAGGTTCTCTCACGACACAAAGTTTGGCGCCCCGTACACTGGTATTCGGATCATAGAACACTTGAACGGATCCATCGGCACTTCCAGTAATAATCTATGTTAAAGGAAAACAAAAAATAATATGATGGAACCTTTTTGTGGATCTTGATCGAACGGAAATCGCCGCGATATATGAATACCTGATTTATGCGGGAGTGCCATAGCACTCGGATAACACTTGACTGTGTGATGCCTACAAGTAAAAAATAAATTCAAGATCAATAATACAATCAAATCCAAAAAAAATTATATATATATATAAAGCTTACTCATTGTTCGAACAATCTCTAACGAGTTACGATCCATCATCACAAGTTTGCCATAGCCCTCGCCTTTTTTAACGGCAGTTCCTGTGGTGAAACAAAGGTAAACGCATCGTAAATAACATATATAACGGAAGTTATGAAAATTCTATTGCCGTACCAGTGATAATCAGTTTCTCATCAGGACTAAATATTACGTTAGCCTCCGGATCAAATACCGGCAAATCTTTGGCCTGAGATACTGGAGACTTGAAATTCCGTATATCCCACACTATAAATAAAGAGGGTTAAGAACAAAAATATTTGAATTCGATAATTCACCGCCTAATACATATAATGCCGACCAACCTTTTACACAATCGTCGCCGCCTCTTGTAACCATAGTCAAACTATTATTAGAGAAGACTATAGACGAGGTCTCACTATGTGGCTGATGCGCTTTCTCTATCATCTGTAAAAGAAGACAGTGTTACCTTGCGGTCGTTTGAGTTTGTAACAAGGAATGCTTACGTGCGAAGGGCGGACGTAAGGGCCGTTGGACCCCCATAAAAACAAATTGCCATCTTGCGCCGCTAATATTAAATTTGACGAACCTTGAGTTATTTGACAAAAAAAAATATATATATGGATAAAGACCAATCATCTGATATAAGAATCGATACTAACCACCAGCAATGAATTTGGAATCCGGGCTGTAACGTGCTGCAGTTACGGCACTTCGACCACCACGTTCTTTAGATTTGTGCACAAGAACGTACTTTTGTTTACGTTTACTCCCTACATCCCATATTCTTGAAAAGGTTTTAGTGAGCAGAGAAACGACACGGAAATATTTTCGTATTATTTATTACAATGCTGACCTAATGGTACTATCCGTAGAACCTGTAATGAATGTCTGCTTTTCGCTAGGATGCCAACCTCCGCATGTCAATGATGCTATGTGACCACTATGAAAGAATAAGGTAAACGATGGCTTCACGATAAAACAACGTATATGCCAATGGTTACCTTGTATTCTTCATGTCTCTTATATATGGATCGCCTTTAATGTACTCCTCGCTATAATGAATGATATGATACACAAGTGATATTAATCAAATAGAAATTTTGATCCAGGACCTAACGATGATATGATTCTTACATCTCAAATCCATCGCGATCATAAATTTTTGCCTGTGCTGAGCCGGAAATAATCAAGAATTGATCCCCACTCAAACTATATTCGATGTGATGAATCTGTTTAAAATAAGAACATATTGGTATTTGGGATTCGAATTTTCAACCGAGCCAATCTCTACAACTCACCTTGTGATCTCCGCAAGGCTTTATAGTTCGGAATGGGCGCAACGAAGAGTCCATTCCCGCAAAATCCCAGAATTTCACATCATAATCAGAACTTCCTGTAATAAGTCGCGCACCAGCCGGGTCAAGAGCCAACGCCGTTACACTCTTTGAAGCAGGTAATATAAAAACGGGAGATCAATAAATTACGATTCAATTTGATCAATAAACGCAATGTGACCAACACACCTTGTAATGATCGTTCAATTTTATTTCGTGCGATATGGGCAAAGAATCGAACTCGATCTCTTCCTCGACATCACCGTCATCATCATCATCATCGTCATCATCATCATCGTCATCATCATCGCTCTGTTTTTTCTCCCGCGTAGACCGTGAAGATTCTTCTCCTTCACTTTTTATACGCTTAGCCTTTGACATTTTTTGTTCAGATGTACTTGAATTTATTGTCCCCTTCTAAACATAATACAAAGAAAACTGAGAAGTCAGGTATGATGCTGATCTACACTGAGGCAATGGCGAGAACAATGTAAGATAACAGGATAAAGATAGGCACGAACCTCATCATCCTTTCTTCTCGTTTTCGAAAAGATATCTTCCGCGGTGTGCTTTTTTTTTTGCGTGCCGAATGACGCGGGTAGCATGGATCTTAGAGGATCCGGTTGCCCGTCTTCCTCCACCGATTCATCTACCACCACAGGAGGTTTGAATTTTTTTCCAAATGACGTAGGAAAGTATTTCGCGAGATCATCTTTATTCGGCTTATATTTAATTAAAATGCGGAATGCGAATTGGAAGTTAATAATTAATCGGAGGGAATTTTTCATTAATCGCATTTGAAGATTACCAGAGACATCGCTGGATGTAAGTGTTAAGGTTTACCCGCTTTCAGATTCTGCTAATTAGGCAAAGAGGTTGGAGACGCAAATGACGATTTTATAAATACATTCCAATCATGCAATTTGTCGATCATGTACCACGTGTTTCTATAATAGGTAAGAATCCAAAGAAAAATATATTGATCTTCTCGCGGAATCAGAAGAAACTTTTTTTTTTTTCCTTAAAGTCAAGCGAATGACATCATTGTGTCATCATCGTTAGTCGGTGTACCGAGAAATTAGATTGTTCAATGATACGCATAAATTTATGTAATCTATTAGCAAGGTCTTGTCTAAAATGGTATACTCTAAATAAGCAATCCAATAATATTTGTCTTAACAACAATTATGTAACATCAAAATTTTTTGGTATGTACCAAATAGTGCCTTCAGCAATAATTCAGTGCCCAGTTTGAAGTTTTTGAGGTAGAAGGGGCAATGCACGAGAGATGCGCATTTAACGAATCTCCGTGTTGTTAATAATATATTAATAAAAATTTCAAAGAACAATAATATACCAAAGTTTTTAATTTTTATTTGCTCAATTTTGTATGCGGACATTTCATCTATTTTATACGCATAAAGACCAGCAGAATCCATTCGTCGAGTTAAGGATTCTTACCACAAATGCATTTCCCGAAAAAAACTCGCTCGCTCGGTGATGATCATGAAATACTGTAAACGAGAATTACTTTACAAATTATCAGGATTGAAAACGTGATTAAAGAAATTAAAGAATTAAATATGGAAAACTCATTTTAAAAATCGCGCCAGGTCACATGAATGCATCACATGGCATCTACCACATAGCAGTTTTAGAAAGATACTTGGACTCTTGAATCACTTCAGCAAGATTGCAGTTAAATCAGATCAATCATTAATGACGATTAAGTAAGTTTTTACACACTTTAACTTTCCGTCAAACACCAATCAAGTATCCGAGATGTACATATAATGGTGATATTTCTTTAATGACATTCTTGTCTCTTATTGCCCTGGACTTTTCACATAATAGTGCTTTTAAGAAATAAGAATCGTTGCTTTTATCTTTTCGAGTTAGACGACATCTCATGGCGTACATTTTTGTTCGCGTAAAAAAACTCCTTATCGTGATGCATTCTCGTGTAACTTTGATGATTAGATGAATACTTATAGTCTGGGTAAGATATATACAACTTTGTTCAATTTAAAATTTAAAGGATCCAATCTTAAGATGCACAAGAATAAAATAGTGAAAGAAAGGAATTCAGAGCAAAAACTTTTCAAAAAAAAAAAAAAAAAAAAAAATGAAGAAAAAATGAAAAAGAAAGAGAATGGAGAAAAAAAAAAAAAAAAAAAAAGTTTTACAATTAAAGGTTCATTCCATCTATCCATACGATGGTTTATAAGTAATGATCACGAGAATATCATCGAAGGGAAAGACGCACTCATCATCGTATGAGGTTTCCACATCGACAATAATCGGATCCATTCAAATGGAATCACTAACGCTTAGCTTTTTGCTTTACGCGTGCGCACACCCTCGAAGCCATAAAGCGTCTTTCCTCGACGTTTCAATGCCAACAGAACCTCCATGACTCCAATGGTCTTTTTCCTCTCGTATTCAAGATAGGAAACGACATCTCGAAGAGTGTCGGTTAGGAAGTCTTTTAAAGCAGCTCTTGCGTGATCGTATATTGCTGCTGAAATTCGCTTCACGCCTCCACGACGTGCGAGACGTCGAATATCCGGTTTGGTGATCCCCTTAATGTTCTCGCGTAAGAGTTTCTAGATGGAAAGAAAAAGATCATATTTTGTTATTAATATTGCAATATGCCCAACCATTAATCGCCAGGCATCATCTTATCATAAATTCCGAATGGCAATCCAATTTCACTACATGAATATTGATTTCGGCGTAATAATATGATATCATCTGTTTGTCTAACAACCATCATGAAAATGGTGCCTTCGAGTAAATAAGAAAACAAAGGCTCCCTCCCACCCAACCTCCATCAAAAAAATTCACCACCTCCGTTATATAAAGCGCACTTACCCTGTGCCTCTGTGTGGAAACTTTTCCTCCCTTTCCCAAACCTTTACCTCCTTTCCCCCGACCTGGCGTTATTCTAGCCATCTTAATTTTGCGGATATAACTTGAATTTTATCTTGCGTGTTCCCTATTTATTTATTTTTATCTATTTATTTATTTATTTTTGTTTGTTCACTTTGAACGTTAAAGTCTATTGTGATGAACTTTCTTTCGGACGAGTAATAATAAATTAAGTTAATGAGAATAGATTTGGAGTTATAAAAATTACACCTTTTCTTCCTAAAGTTTTTTTGTTTACCTTGGGGAAAAATGTGTGAAAGGAAGATATCGACTAACTCATTTGGATTATTTTATATACTGATGAGTTTTAACTAATCAATATTATAATCAGATGTGTGTAACAGTGGTGTAACCATAATTGTGCACAATTTAGGAAAGTTGTGGACAGATGACAAGGATTCATGCATGGTGTCTTTGACCTAATAAACATGAAGAGCACTCCTTATTCCATATTTTGTGTAACGGTGCGTATAAATGCACAAGTAAACAGCACAGTAATCAATTTTTCGTGTGCTTATAAAAACGCGGTTATACCACGTGATGTCAAAAATGGTCGTTCATTTAGGCCAGGGACAACGCGTAAAGCATGTTTTCGCTTCGATATCATAGCATTTATAATTACATGTATGTTTTATTTAATTTAAAAAAATTTTCGTATATAAGCGTCTCAAGATAACCAGCAATATTAATTTACGTGCGAATGTGAAATAGCCCGAAATGGGAATATCGTTGACTCCAACGTTGACCTTCACTATGTCATTCGGGAACATTTCGGTGCCTTTTTGTCTTCCTTACCGTTATCCTAAACACGCGAACACCCCGACAAGCCCACTCACGAGCACTCCTATCATTCCAACACTCAAATTTACTAATCTTGAAGATTCCCCGGCTGAATGTACATTCGCTTTCTTGGTCGTTGTGCCGGAAGGTTTCTCCGGATGACTAGTGGTGGTGGATGCATGTGTGGTGTCAAGCGTTCTTGACGACGTTGACAAAGGATGTCCTGTCTCGCTGGAAGCCGATTGTCCAGGTAAGCCACCATGAAAACCAGCAGTCGGACTCTTTGGGCTAAAAATGGAATCTCCCAATCCTCCCGGTTGCTGAGACTTGTGTGAAGGATCATTCTGTTTGCCGAATGGGAAGGAAGGAGCCTGTTGAGCGCTGATGGAGCAGATTAGGGCGAAGGATAGGACGAGGATGAAATATTTGTGCTTTAGATAAACCATCTTTAAATTATTGGGCACAAGTGAAGAATGTGAATCCGATGAGAGAAGTAAAATCTTTTGTTTGATGTGTCAAGGAAATTCAGGATGGTTCCAAATTTTTTTTTTTTATTTTCTTTTATAACGTATTTCATTAAAAAAATTTTCCCCCCTTATAATAATCCGACATTGATCCCTGATAATTCGTTGTAGTATGAAATCACGATCATTAGCTATATTTAATTTCTAAAAAAAAAAATTTTTTAATTTATCATCATTCATGATGACTCCTTTCTTAACTGATGGTATCATTTCTCGAAAAATTGAATTCCTTTGTCAGTGATGAAAAAGCTGAATTTCCAAAAAATTTCCGAGATTCACATTTCCATCAATGATAAAATTAATAATTAATGATCGCTCACCATTTCACAATGATACTTTTAATGGACAATCGAGTATGCTACATATCGTACAAAAATAAGAAATCCGTAATTCTTTCTATGGCAATGTCACTTGCAATTAAAAGGCAAGAACTTTGACACAATTAAACGTGCGTTGACACTTTATAAATCGTTCATTCGATCGACGTATTGTCTGTCACCTTGCATGCACGTACTGTGATGCAATGCTTTTTGCTTCTACTTTATTTCATACAATTGATTAGATTCGGTACAAGATTTTTTTCAAAAAAAGGGTGATCCGAACTTTTTTAATAGATTGATATATTTATTTCAAAAAAATTTTTATTATTTAAAGTCATGAAATAAATGTGAATCAAATATTTAAAAAATAAATGTGAGTCAAATATTTAAAAAAAAAATATCAATTAATATTATATTTTATTTAAATATTTACAGTATATTTAAATTTAATATAATATAAAAAATTAAATTAAATAGATTCAATTTAATATTTAAATATTATATTTTATATTAGATTTATAAATTCATATATACAATGTGTAAAAATACTTTTTGAAATTCTTTATTTATTCATAACTTAATAAAAAATTATTTAAATAATATAAAAATGTAAATATATATTTTTTAAAAGTTAAAGAATAAGGTTACTAAAACTATTTATATAAGTT